GGACAGACTCCTGGCAGTCATGTCTCATCTCCCCCCGTCCTTTGCGCGAGCATCCAATCCATCAGCAGTAGCTGGTGATGTAGCCTCCGGAATCGGTTCTGTGCATCTGCACCTCCTCGTTGAGATGTCTGTTTCTACGTAGCAGCCAGCAGCACCCCTCACGCCCAGGACTATCCAAGTAGCCTTCTGATGTCTCCCTGTGCCTCCAGCTTTGCCATCAGACACTCTTCAGTTGAGAGCACTTGGGAAGTAAAACAGAGAATGCTTGACGAATGTGTAAGTAAGACTAGATAGAGTCCTTCAGGCAAGCTGAGGCATCCCTTGTCTCCCTGAAGGGGTGATGAAGACTTCCAGTGGCCTGGGTACCAGTTGCAGAGGAATTAAAAATGCAGTCACCAAAGGGATATTCACCGAGGCAGCAGCAATTTTTTCTGTGGTTCTCAATGAGCTGCCGTCTCCTTCAATCTGTCTCCCACACCTCAACCTCTCTCTCTCGATCTCTCTTTTTCTCTCTCTTACACACACTCGCACACACACACACACACATTCACTCATCATTCTGGTGAATGCAATGAAAAAATAGATTGGAGATGCCAAGGAGAAAGGAAGAATGCCTAGTTATGAACTTACAGCACTCATTATGTGAAAAGTGATGGTGACCTACGCTGGAGGTTGCTATGGAGATGGTATCCACTTAGTTCACAGAGTGCATTTTTTTTTTACAAATACACCTTTATTTATTTACTTTTCATTAGTTTAAATCCTGGAAGGGTACAGCATCACACGGATTCTTTGTCCAGTGGCCTTTGCCGGAAGGTTGCTTCGGGAATTTGGCACGAAGCATGCTACTGTTTCCACGGGCCTGAGTTACTTTTCCCCAGATCACTCTGGTTTTGTTAGGTTTGCCTCTGGGTGTCACTGTGTTATTTTCCGCTCTATACACGTAAGCGCATCTCTTGCCCAAGTAGAAGTCAGTTTCCTCTCGGGCATAAACACCTTCAGCTTTAAGAAGAGCTGTGTGCTCTCTCTGGTTCTGGAGACCTCGCTTATAGCCAGCAAAGATGGCCGTGCACCAAAGCGTTCCATAGTTGCCTTTTAGAAGTCCTGTTCCCAGCAGGCCCCAGGAATCTGCCCCCAAAGTTCAGCAGCAGGAACTCCGCTCACCTCCACCCACAGAGTACATTTTTACAAACTGCTTTTTATTTCTTTTTAGATCTGGGAGCTCAAACCTGCTAGATAGAAAAGCTCGAGTGGGAAGATCTAACCTACATTCAGCCAGCAGTATCCCTGGAGGTTGCTTAAGAGTATCGCTCTCCTCTCGGAGTTGAAAAGACGTTGGCTATCTCTGTGTTTAACTTTCCTCTGTTACATTCTTAAGATAGATTCCCCCCCCTTCCCGGCAGTGGAGGTAATGTACGTGCACTTGAGTGTGGTAGCATGTCTGCCTGTACACGAGCAGGAGAGCAGTGGATCTCAGCCTTCCTAATGCTGTGGCCCTTAACGCAGTTCCTCAGGCTATGGTGACCCCCAAACATAAAATGTTTTCCATTGCTACTTCATAACTGTCATTTTTCTACTGTTATGAATCATAATGTAAATATATGACATGCAGATGGTCTGTGGCGTTCCCTGCGAAAGGGTCATTCAACCTCCAAAGGGTTGCGACCCACAGGTTGAGAACTGTTGACGTAGCTTCTCTTCTTTCTCCCCACCGTATGACCTTGAGACGGGGTCTCTCGATGAGCCAGCCCTTTTGGTTAGCCTAGCTGGCGGCGAGCCCTGAAGATCTGTCTGTCTATGTTCCCCTCTCTGCCGCTGGGTTTGCAGGCACATGCCTGGCTACTGGGGATTGAACCTAGGCTCTGGAACTCACAGAGCAAGCACTCTTATCCACTGACCCATCTCACCGTTTCATTCACTATAAAACTTGCTTCTAGACGTGGACATGTACAGCCAGGCTCCACCTGGTATGAGACTGGCTTAATTTCAGGCCTGGGACAAGGGTGGGAGCAGCATTTACCCCCAAGGTGAGCGAGAGACACCAGCATGCAGCAGGACTGAAGATCGAGTGAGAAGGTGCTGGGTAGAATAAAGGAGGCCTGAGAACGTGGGCTGTCCATCCCCAGAAGCTCAATAAAGGACTTCTGGGTCAGACAGTGGTGGTGCATGCCTTTGATTCTAGCACTCGGGAGTTCGAGGCCAGCCTCGAACTCTACAGAGTTAGTTCCAGGACAGCCAGAGCTGCTACACAAAAAAACCCTGTCTCAAAAAACAGACAAACAAACAAAGAGCTTCTGATTTGCCGTTATTTGTGCCAGGCACTGAAGTAGAAACTAGAAGTGGAATTATGAACAAGACAGGCATTCAACCATTTTGTAAATACAAATTCTTCACCTACTGCGAGCCTGGCGTTGTGTTTAGTAAAACAAAAGGATGTGCATGCACTGAATGCTGTTGTGAGACTGTTTGATGAGCTGCACAGAGGACCAGGCTTTAGGGTGTCACCCTATGATGTGGTGATGTACTATTTATGGTTTATTAAAGTCTGCCTGAAGGTACAGAAAACAAAGCCAGCCACACTAGTTAGCTATAGAAGCCAGGCAATAGTGACACACACCTTTAAACCCATCACTTGGGAGGTAGAGGTAAGCAGATTTCTGTTAGTTCAAGGCCGCACTGAGCTACACGAAACTGACCCAGTCTTAAAGAGAGACAGCGCACACAACGATGACCTCAGCACTTGGGATCACACGCCTTTAATCCCAGCACTAGGGAGGTGTAAAAATCAAAGGGTCTCATGTGGGGATTGATTCTCCGGCCACACTGAGGAGAGGCAGACATCTGAGGCATGGTGGAGACAGGATCATCCCCTTTAGTTCTGAGGTAGAGGTAAGAGCTAGTGGCTGGCTACTCTGCTTGATGTTTAGCTTGAAGTTTGAACCCTAATGTCTGTCTCTGGGTTCTTTTATTTCTTGTGTTACACTAGGACACCCTTCTGTGCAATCCTTTCTCATTTAAGTATTCCCCTCTGTCTGCCCAAACATTGGAAGTTGAGGAACAGGCCTCTTTCCATTTAAAACTTGGATCCAAGATCAGTTCCTGATGCAATATCTGGGGCTGTGGGTTATCTTTCTGGATTGTGTGGTGTGTGTGTGTGTGTGTATGTGTGTGTGTGTGTGTGTGTGTGTGTTTGCATATTTTTCCAGGGATGGGTCACAGTCAAATATGTCCAAATAATGTGTGTGTGTGTGTGGTACAATATACACATGTGTATGCAGGTATGCTTGTCTGTGCGTTTGAATATAGGTCAAGGTTGGTGTCTTCATCCACCGTTCTCAGATTTTTAATTTTTCTTTTTACTTTTTTCCTTCTTTTTTTTTTTTTGGTCTTTCGAGGCAGGGTTTCTCTGTGGCTTTGGAGGCTGTCCTGGAACTAGCTCTTGTAGACCAGGCCGGCTTCCAACTCACAGAGATCCACCTGCCTCTGCCTCCCGAGTGCTGGGATTAAAGGTGTGCTCCACCAACGCCTGGCTCCAGCTTTTTAATTTTTAAAAATTTCTGATGTAGCATGTAGTATGCGTGTAGCATGCACATGGGTGAGTGTTGCGTGCCCGTGAGCCAGACCGGTTGGACAGAGAGCTCCCATGATGCACCCGCCTCTGCTCCCCCAACACTGTACTCACAGGCATATGAAGCCATACCTGGTTTCTACATGGGCGCTAGGGACTTGAACGCAGCTCCCCAGGCTTACCCAGCAAGCTCTCTTACCCCCTTCACCATCGCTCCAAACCCTCTGCCTTATTTTCTCAGACAGGATCTGTCACTGAATGTGGAACTCGCTGTGTCAGCCAGACTCTGGCTGGCGAGCAGCCCCTACCATCTTCCTGCCTCTGCACCCACGACCCACACTGGAGTAACAGAGGCAGCACCCTGCTTTTACATAATGAGGATCTAAACTCGGGTCTTCCTCTGTGCACGGCAAGCACTTTACACATAGAGCTATCTCCCTGGGCCCAGAAATTGCAAATATTTTCACTCAAAATGGATTTTTCACAAAACTCACACGAGAGACGATCCTTTGATGGCATTTAGTGGAGAATGATCTCCTGGGCTGTAGGTGAAGTCATGTGACCCGTGGTGCTCACAGATTACAGACTGAATAGACTTTGTCGAGTAGGAAGTAAGTTTGATCTAGTATTTGCTCAATTACAGCTACAATCAGAAAGTGTGACTAGTAGGAGTGGTCGCTTGTTTTACTCTGGCCACCCAGGCATGGACTCTCAGGTGGTATGATTTCTTCACCTATTTATGTATGGGGGATGTGGGAGTGAGTGAATGCATGTGCCATTCAGATGTCAAAGACCAGCTCACAGGAGCTGGATCTCTTCTTCCGCTGTACGGGTGTTGCGGCTTGAACTCGGGTCTTCAGGCTTAGCGGCAAGCTCCTTTATTTGGGGAGCCATCTTGGTGGCCTTGGAGGTGGTGTTTTAATACATACCTGAAGACTGAGAATGGTCTAGCAACACCAACATGTGGAAAATTTATATGCAAAGGCCCTGGAGAGGGCTCCCTGAGGAGGAGGACGTGTTGGGTGCTCGGGCGAGATGGTCAGGTATTGAGGATCTCGGGAACCTCTTGGGAGGGTAGAGGGAAATGTGGGTAGAGATGAAGCCAAGGGCCAGCACACATCACCCTTAAAAAACGACACGGAAAGAGTGGCGGGAGGGGGAGAGAATGAACGGCGGATGCGAAGACCCTGAGGCGGTACACGCGCGCCGGATGGAGATCCATGGAACATAGACCAGAGACACAGGGCGGAGTTAGGTCAACAGATGCGGCCATTTCATTCATTCCACACTTACTGAGGTGCTTAAGAAAGGCCCTGGGTGTCAGAGGATTTGATTTGCATTTTGGATACGCTTTGCTGTGATTAAATAGGACAGAACTTACAGACTGCAATTCTCACTTCATCTTCTCCTCCCTCTGGTACTCCATAGGGTTCCTGCCTGACCCTTAGCTCAGTGCCCTGGAATCCTGGGCTCATGTCGCCGTTCTGGGCAGCTCGTTCCTGGACCAATCAGAGCCACACACATGAGCTGGAGTTCGTTCTGCTGGGCTTTGCACATGTGCCCTCCCTGCGCCCAATGCTCGCAGTGCTCTTCCTGGCCATCTTCCTGCTCACGCTGCTAGGCAACACGCTCATCGTCCTGCTCACCAGCCTTGACCCAGGCCTGCGAGCGCCCATGTACTTGTTCCTGCGCCAGCTGGCCCTGGTGGAGATCTGCTTCTCACTGGACGTGGCGCCCCGTCTGCTAGTGACCCTGCTGCGACCTGGTCGCGGGATGTACCCCACAAGCTGTGCCCTGCAGCTGCTCCTTGTGCTGTCCTGTGTCACATCTGAGTGTTTCCTCCTCACAGTCATGGCCTGGGACCGCTTCCTGGCCATTTGCAGGCCTCTGCACTACGGCGCCATCATGAGCCCACGGTTGTGCCACCTGCTGGCCACCATGTGCTGGCTCGCAGGAATTCCCGTGGCTCTGGTCTTCACCATCTGGCTCTTCAACTTTCCCTTCTGTGGACCACGGGGCATCCGACACTTCTTCTGTGACATAGCACCTCTGCTGAGCCTGGTGTGTGCAGACACCAGAGTCTTCGAGGCCAACGTGTTTGTGGCCACTGTCCTCGTCATCATGGTTCCCTTCTGTCTTATAGCTACATCCTACATCTTGATTCTGGCTGCTGTCCTTCGGATGCCGTCAGCCTCTGGGCGCCACAAGGCCCTGTCCACCTGTGCCTCCCACCTCGTCGTGGTAATTCTGTTTTATGGCACAACGGGAGTCATCCACTTGCGCCCCAAGGCCAGCTACTCTCCTGAGAGCAAGCAAGTAGTGTCCCTGTCCTACACCATGGTGACCCCCATGCTCAACCCCCTCATCTACAGCCTGCGGAACAAGGAGGTCAAGGCTGCCTTTGGGCGTGTGTGCTGTGGACGCCAAGGGTCTAGGCTCTAGACTCGATGGAAGAAGCTTCCCCTTTACCACCATTCAGAGTGAGGAAATTGTTGAGGCCCACGTTCCCAGGGTGGCTTAAGACCCTGACTTTCCTCTAGGAAACCCATGACTGCTTCCATTTTCCTACCCAAGAGAAGGCACAACACCAAACTTTCCGTCTCTAATCATGGTTATTTTAAATAAAGGTGGGTGAACAAATCCACTTTAAGCCAAGGAGAGTGTGTTAGCTAGCATCTTCTGGAAGAATGTTGCACAATAAGCCATTTTAAAATTTAGTGTCTTGAGCCCCAACTAGGCATCTTTTGTCACCAAATGAAGCTTCCAGTACCAGGATTCATTTACATTTAATTGAGATGTTGGCCAAAGGCGTCACATGGGAACACCCAAACAAGCCAAGGTTGTTGCCAAGACTGTAGGTTGTTCTCCACAATCTAACGGGCAAGGTCCCGTTGCTGTAGATGACACCTACACAACTCATTTAACATGGGGAAGTCAAGCTGGTGCCTACACCGAGCCTTCGCCTGTACTGGCTAGCATCTGGTACAGGCAGATACTCTGCGTGCTACCACAGGAGAAACATAAACACCAACCTAGCTGCAAACACTTTGATCCGCAACGGTGTCCAGGTATGCCAGTGTAATGGTGGCACAAAGCTTGGAGAAGTAACCAATTAATATCTGATCTGACTTAAGGGCCACTCCACAAATGGAACCCATCCCCAACATTGCTTGGGTAATCAAGAACCTGAGACTAAATAGCCCAGGGACCTAGTGTAAAACAAACAAACAAAAATAGTGTCTTAAAGCCTGTCACCTATTCTCATTCAATTTCAATTGGCTGAGTGTTAGGTAGCCTAGGCTGGACATACCTTAGTGGTTTTTGACATGGGCTAATTTTGCGTATGCACATAGATGTTGTTCAATGTTAGCGTGGTTATAATGAAGAAGCTTTTATCTATATACTTCTCAAGATCAAAGAGTTGATTAAAGCATGGCCTTCCATTGCAGTAGCTGAAGTATAAAAGGGGAGATCCAATTACATGCCAGATTGTCAAGGCTTTGGTCACATGGCGTACTATCATTAGGAATAGACCATTTAAAGCCTGTGGGAAGATCTAAAGTCAAGAGGTAATGTATTCCCTCGGGCTTTATGTGAAGGAGGCTGGAGTTATGTGAAACTTGACCTTCGTAGAACGGTGATTGAGGAAATTAATAAGACATTAATAAATCAACATCAAACCCCCAGATCTCAAAATTTCTCTCTCAGATTTTTTTCTTTGTCCATCATCTGAGTGAGGGTTTCTACTGCTGTGACAAAAACACCATGGCCAAAAGCAACCTGAGGAGGAAAATGTTCATTTCATTTTCAAACGCTTAGGTCCCAGTCCATCGCTGAAGGAAGTCAGGGAAGGAGCTCAAGAAATGAAACTGAATCAAAGACCATGGAGGAGAGCTGCTTATGTGGACCACCCCGCAGCTTGCTCAGCTGCTTTCTTATGCAACCCAGGACCACCAGACCAAGGGTGGCACCACACACAGTGGACAAGGTCCTTCTATACCAATCACTAGTCAAGAAAGCATTCAACAGACTTATCTATAGGACAATCTCATGGAGACATTATCTCAGCTGAGAGTCCTTCTTCCCAAATCATTCTAGTTTGTGTCAAGTAGACATAAAACTAACCAACACATCTATAGGATTGTAGGAGTTGTAGATGCTACTGTTTGGGCTTTAGCAGAGAAGGCTCGACCGTTAAGCACACGCACTACTCTTCAAAAGGACTAGAGTTCCCTTCCCAATATCCGTTTTGGCTACCACCTGTCCAGAGGTTCAGTGGATCCAATATTGCCTTCTTGTGGCCAATATGGGTACTGCACACATGCTCATACCCTTACATATATATATGCATATATGTACAAACACACACACACATATACATACATATATTCTTACTAATAACAGAATCAACAAAAGAAAAACAAGTCTATTGGAGAGACAGCAATGAGGTACTAATGGCTAATGAATTCCTGGATCCAATCACACCTGAAGTTTGCTCTATTCATAGAAAGTCCCCTTCTGTGAACAAATAAATTCACTTCTGCTTAAGCGTGTTTTGGTCGAGTTTTCCATCTCTTGGTATGACTCCTGATGTTAGCCTTAACAATTAGCCTAGTTCTTGAGAGGCAATGATGGTGGTGGTGATGATGATGGCGGTAGTGATGGTAATGATAGCGATGACAATGGTGATAGCTGTGGTAACGTACTGTCACTACATAGGAAATGAAGGACTTTGTTCTGTGAAATTGCGTAATCCTCTCAGTTAGAACAGCTCTGGACTGAGTTGAAATAAAGATGTTCTGGTATCAAAGCACCATTACAATAACCCTGTGCATGTTGACTTTTAACATAATCGTCATCACCGTCATCATTTAGTATGCATATTTTACACTGACTGTCTCTGTTTTTTCACTGACTGCCTCTTTATACTTTTATGGGTGTTGGGTACAATAGAGACCAATGAACCCCAACCCCACTCCATCCTGTTCAAAGAACACAAAGTAAACCCTGAAGAAGATGGGATGATTTGTGCAACATCCTGTTTGGAAGAGTGTGGTCCATCCTGAATACTCATAAACAATTAATTACCTTTCTATTGCTGTGATAAAGGACTATGACCATAGGAACCTACAGAAGGAAGTTATTTATGCTCATGGTTTCAGAGAGCTGAGTCCACTATGGCAGAAAGCAGAGAAAGTGTGAACTGGGAATATCAATTGAAATCTGGAAGCCCATTCCCAGTGACACACCTCCAGCAAGACCATATCTAAACTTCCCCAAACAGGGCCACCAACTGGGCACCAAGTATTCAAGACTATGCACAAGACTATGGGAGACATTCATCACTCAAACCACCAAAGAACTCCAATTTTAAATAATTGTTTAATCTTCTGCCTCTCTTTGCAAAATGTAGCTAGTACCTCAGAGGAACCCTGAGAGTGGCTACTACACCAAACCATTACTTCTAGCATCATGAGGGAAATCAACTAGTATGTATTGAGAATCTACTCAGTGTCAGTTTTCATGCCAACATGGTAAATGCTTCTGCTAATTTAATTCTCCAAAATGTCTATACTTCATACCTGCATAATGGTAATAATAAAAACAATCCCACTGGAGGGTGATTTCATTTATACTGAGCTGAGTGACATCTACAGTCACTGTTTTTGTCTTCTCTGTGATCCTGAGAGAAAGGCAAGGTCATAGCAATTTATTCTGGTGGTTCACAATTATCTTAGTTTGTCAAAAGCTGGGTTTCAGGTCTGTTGAGATACAGTCTCTGTAGTGTTCTTCTGTTCTCACTCAGAAGATGACCAACTGTGTCCCACCACAGGACTTGCTCAGAGAGGTAGCTCAGGTCAGTTTGGGTGGAGACAGAAGGGGTTAGTAAGTACTTTTCAAATACTGTGGTGTTGGGTTTAACTTTTAAAGGATGCATCCTATTTCACCACAAGGAAAAATGGGTCTGTTGCAGCATGAATAGATGTGTGGAGATCAAGAGTGAATATCTTTTATGTCACTAGTGTTTATGAGGCTGAGGATAAAGTGTGGGGAAGGCTTCACACAAGGATTCTAGGTTACATGTAAAGACAAAAGGTGCCCACCCACCAGGTCTAGTGAAAATCATGAAAGAAGCAATGAGAAGAACGTAATGGCTGAAGGATATGGAGGAGGGTTGTGAGATACTGTCTTCTGGACATGACATAGTTGTTGCACACATGAACTCATTGTAGCTGCGGTTACCTGCACGAGATCAGGCCAGCATGGCTAACTCGTATTTCACCAGGCAGAACAAAATAGACTCTGTGCACTTTAAAATAAGATGAAGCAGAACCAGAGGTGCAAGAGGAACTTGTATGGGGGAAGTGGAAAGGGAAGTTGGGGTGGATATGGTCAAGATACATTGCATATGCTTACAGAATTGTCAAAGAATAAACGAAAGATATACTAGAAAAAAACAAAGTCATGAAAAAATAGGATGACCAGACAGTACATTAGAAAAATTATTCTATACATATACTTGAGGATTTTTCTTACTTGGTTGCTATAAACCGTGTGGGTTTTGTCTTTGGGTGAAAGTAATTAAATATAAATAAATTGTAGAGCTTTAGTAGGTGACAATATTGGAGGAGGCAGGAGAAGTTGGAGGGGAGGAAATGGGATACATTGAATACATATATAGAATTTCAAAGAACAGACAGAATATATTCGTAAAAGAAAAGAATTTGCTTGGTGGTGGTGGTACATGCCTTTAATCCCACCACTTGGGAGGCAGGAGGATCTCTGTGAGTTCGAGACCAGCCTGGCCTACAGAGTGAGTTCCGGGACAGCCAGGGCTACACAGAGAAACCCTGTCTCAAAAAAGAATTTGTTTCATTTAGGGTTTGATGATATTTCAAGGGCAAAGATTTCTTAAAGTTGTTGTTATTTTTGTTGTTGTTTCGAGACAGGGTTTCTCTGTATTGTTTTGGAGGCTGTCCTGGAACTCGCTTGGTAGACCAGGCTGATCTTGAACTCACAGAGATCCGCCTGCCTCTGCCTACCGAGTGCTGGGATTAAAGGCGCGCGCCACCAACGCCCGGCTCTGTTATGGTTGTTTTTAGTGTATGAATGTTCGCCTGCCTGTATGCCTTTACACCATGTATGTGCAGTGCCTACAGAGGCCAGGAGAGGGCGTCAGATTCACTGGAGCTGGAGATACAGAGCTGGTAAGGGATCACCATGTGGGTTCTGGGAACTGAACTCACACCCTCTGGAATTTTAACCTGTGAGTGCTTTCACCTCTGAGCCATCTCTCCAGCCCCGCTAGTCTTCCTCTGACTATTTCACTTGACACTACGCCTTCAAGGTTCATCCGTATTGTAGCATCTGTCAGAATTCCCTCCCTTCCTTAAGGCTAAACAATATTCCTTTGTGTTCTGCTCAAAGGACATCTGGTTTCTTCCACCTCTGGCTGCAGTCAACACTGATACTGTGGATGTAGGTGACAGATACGGTTTCACTAAGCTGCATTATCAGCCTCTTGTCTATTACATGGACATCAGACCCATCAGCACCAAGAGCAGGGCCTGACCTTCGGGGAAGACACCATCAATGCCCAGACATGAAGCGAAGGTAGTTTAGAAGCTCGCTTGCCTCTGACCTGCCCTCTTCCGTCTCTGCAGAGCATCAGGGAGAGACTTTCCGCCACAGTCCTTTCCCAATCCACAGAGACCACTGAAGTCTCTGGGGTCCAAAGCTCTGGCTTAAGTTTGCATGCCTACTCCTTCTCAGAGTGTGGACAGTCTACTCGGAAACTTCAAGAGTTTAAGACAGAAAAGAGACAAAGGCTTTGTGTGTGTGTGTGTGTGTGTGTGTGTGTGTGTGTGTGTGTGTGTGTGTGTGTGTAGAGCACCTCCTTTCAAGGCAGATTGAAAGGTTGCATTCTCTGGTATCTCCTCTAAGCAGAAGCCGAGTCTATGTAGATATCAGAGTCTGCTCCTCCACTGTTAGAATCAGCAAGGAAGGATCAATACTTCTCAACTGCTATCAGGTATGAAGACCCAGAGCTATTCTTTGAGGGTAAAATCAGGGAGTGGCAGGAACATATGCTTTTCTTTTCTAGAGTAGTCAAGATATCACGTCCACATTACAAAGTCTGAACACTTTAGTGACACCAAATGGCTTGATGCTCAGGAATGGCAGTTTTATCTGAATACACAGACAGGTACGTGATACATAACTATGTGAGCAATAAATGATGGATATATTGGTAGATAAAATAGAAATATATGTATAGATAATAGATATAAGACACATATATACATGAGTTTTAGAATACACGTGTGTGTGTATACCCATGAAATAGATGATGGACAGACAGACAGATAGATTAGATAAATTATGAATGAGATGCATAGATGATAAATGAATAGATGGATGTTTGATAGGATGATGTAAAGATGGAGAGCTGACAGATAGATACATGATAGATAGATAGATAGATAGATAGATAGATAGATAGATAGATAGACAGATAGATAGATGATAGACAGATAGATGATAAATGATAGGTTAATAGACAGGATGGATGGGTGGGTGGACGGACGGATGGAAAGACAGACATTTAGAACTGGCAGGTGATTAAGTGGCTTTTGCATATTAGAATTTTTATCAGTGGAGAAATAGTCTGTTGTGCTTGTCTCTCACACTTCATAACCTTTGCTTCTTACTCCTGTGTTCTACCAAACAATTCACTCGTGTGTATATATATATATAACACGGATAACACCAAAGTGAAT